CAATAAAGAGGAAGATAAGAGGGCCTAAACGTTCATACAATTCACGTTTGAGTTGTTGGAATGTTTACGCGTTTCTTTGATTTCAATGTTTAAATTCAATTCTCTTTGTTTTGTAATATGAGGAATGGAAGAGAAGAGTGCCTAAACGTTCATACAATTCAAGTTTGAGTTGTTGGAATGTTTAGGTGTTTCTTTGATTTCAAAGTTATGAGGAACTAAACCCTTTTTGGCTAGGGGTGATTTCAATACCATGATTATTTATGTAATATGAATTGATGAATTCCGGTTATGAACTCTTGATTCGTGAATGCAATTGGCTTAACTATTTGATGATTAACTTATTTGTGTTTGTTGATTGAGGGTCGACACTTAATTAGCATGCATGAATATGTGGCTAAAGTTTAAGAAGGTTTCACATAATCGTTACTAACTTATACTTGAAAGTAGTGAAGGTCGCTTGTCACGATCGCGTTAAGTTTGATTCTTAGCATGAGTAACATGATGTCATAGTTGCAAATGCTTTGTCAATGCTTATGGTTTTCATTATTCTTAATGATCTTCGATTGTATCTCTATTATGATGACATGTAGGGAACTTTTGAGAATATTTTGGGTTGTCGAATGATGCCATCCAATCCAATAATATAAGGAAAATCTGAGGGTTAACTAGTGATGTCACGGTTAATTTGGGGCATTGTCGTTCATAATTCAATGAAGGAATAACTGGAAATTGATTCATATGCATAAATATCATGTGTGGAGAAAGAACCTCTAGCTAATTTACCAACCATCTTATTTCATCAATTACATTCTGTCTAGTTATTAACTTGTTTCGTTATTTCAATTTTCGTCAAACCTCAATCCCCCTTTTGCTTTAATGTTCAATATAGTTAGAAATCAATTTAGTTTGTGTTTTTAAAGCATTTTGATTCTTTTGGTTTGTCTTAGTGTTTTAACGTTTAGTTTCACATTCTTTGAGTCTAGTTTAGTGTTTTATATTGTTTTTACGTTTTTAAGTACAATTTAGAAGGTTTTAGCAAGCCCTCCTAATCCCCGGTTTAGAACGATCCCTCACTTATCCATTCTACTACAATTGTCAAACGAGGGTTTAATTTGAGTGTCAAGTAATTCTCGCATCAGTGAATCCTTTGAACCAAAGGGTTTACCACACTTTTGTGTAGGGGCAGATGATTGGCTAGCCACTAATGTACGTGGATCACCAATATTGGCGTCCTAGGCCTCCAAGAGGGAAGTACATCGTACATTTTGTACATCCATCTTTGCAGGTGTATTCGTAGTTGGAATATATGATCTTGTCATGCGCGCTAGATCAATGAAAGCATCTGTCATGCTCTGAGCTATGCTCTGGAGATCTAATATATGCTGCACTTCAGTTTCAGACTGAGCGGTGCAGGGATCTAAATGAGACAAAGTGGGAGTCGTCCACGATAATTCGTGTCGTTCTTCAGGAACGTTAACATTCCCTAACGACAAAAAAACTGTCTCATAGAAGTGACAATCCATAAAACGAGCAGTAAGCAGATCACCTGTCAAAGGTTATAAGTACTGAATAATCAAAGGAGAATCATATCCGACATAGATTCTTATCCTTCGTTAAAGCCCCATTTTTGTACATAAGGGCAGCGAGATCAACACATATATCGCACAACTAAAAACGCGCAGATGCGACATGTCGGGTTCGTATTTGGTAACCAACTGAAAGGCACTAAATGGTTGTGTCGCAACAAGACTCAGGCGAACCAACTTTGTTGCGTGCAATATTGCCTGGCCCTAAGCAGACGTATGACCAACGATTAAGCAATCATTTGTAAGCACTTAATGAAAGCCTCTGCCAGACCGTTCTGGGTGTGAACATAGGGTACATGATGTTCAATGTCAACCCTAATCGACATGCAATAGTCATCAGAAGTTTTAGATGTGAATTCTCCAACATTATCCAATTAATAGATTTGATCAGATAATCAGGGTGGTAAGTCTTGAGCTTCATAACCTAAGCCAACAATTTGGAGAATGTAGCCTTCCTTGTGGACAACAAGCACACATGTGACCAACGTGTGGAAGCGTCAACCAAAACCATAAAGTATCTAAATGGTTTGCAGAGAGGGTGAATCGGTCCACAAATGTCCCTATGAATCTGTTGTAGAAAAATGGGAGGATTCGAACGAATCTTGTCATAAGAAGGCTTAGTAATAAGCTTTCCCATTGAACATGTTTGACATGCAATTCCTTGGATCAAACCTAAACTTCGAGTTAGTGGATGCCCGTGTGAAGATTTGAGGATATAGCGCATCATTATTTGTCCAGGGTGTCCCAAACGATCTTGCCAAAGTGTAATTTCTTGCATGGTCCCAGTAGTAGGGCTGGCCACATAGTGGCATTCTATGGGGCGTATGGTCAAAGTATATAGACCACTCGGGATACGCTCCATCTTCTCTAGAATACGTTTCTGGCCATATTCGTAGGAAGTTATGCACAGAAATTCAACTCCGTTTTCTACGTGGGTTTCAACGTGGTATTTGTTATCTGTCCTTGAAACTTAACAACGTTCTTCCGAAATGTGGAGAATAGAGTGCCTCAGCAATGGTCAAGATTATACCATTGGACAACATTATACATGCCTTACCTTATCCTTCAATCAGGTTGGATGGGCCTAAGAGGGTTGTCAGAGGTGCATTCTTAGGTATGAAGTTAGTGAAATAGATGCGTTCACGCAAAACTGTGTGCGTGGTTGCACTATCTGCCAGACAACTAACTTTCCCACTAGTCACACCTAGAATGAAAAATTAATTTGAATTTGTCACATGCACAAAAGTTCTAAATACAAATATCAATTCAAAATAATTTCATTTATTGAAGGATGGTAACAAATTAAAACTTAATATCCAAAAATAAATCACCAACAAATAATCCAAACATAAAGGAAAAATTGTTCAAAAATCAACCAAAAATAAAGAGGGGTTTGGCCACTAGGTGGAATATGGCCCTAATGTGCAATTTTAACTAACTAAAATTGTTTATGTCTAAGATTCTAATCTTCCATAGGGGTGGTATCTTCCTAAAAATCAGAAACCTCCATCTTTGTAGTCTCTGGTTTGTCCACTTGCACAAAGTTTGATTCAAACTTCTTATGATGAGAATGATATTTATCTACAACCTTCTTGGGAGCTCGGCAAACACGGGACCAATGGTCCTTTGAACCACATCGATAGCACATGTTCGCATCCATGGTTTCAGGTGCTTTGCCCTTATTCTTGAAGTTCAGGGCCTTGGGAGCGAAGTTTGGGTGCTTATGGGCTTTGTTTTCTCCCTTGGATGGGCCTCAACTCTGTTGACCTTGGTGGGATGCCTTCTGGCCACCCCTACCATGCCTCTTTTGGTGTTTTGGGTGTTGGTTTGTGTTATAATGTGCTTCAGGCACAACAATCGCCCCAGTAGGTCAAGCTTGATGATTCTTCATCAATAGCTGGTTCTACTTTTCAGTGAGAAGTAAAACAGAGATCAAATCCAAGAACTTAGTGAACTTTATATTGTTGCAGCAGGACAATATTAGAAGCAGAGAAGGTCGAATAGGTCTTCTCTAAGAGATCTTCTTTGTTCAAAGTTTCATTACAAAACTTGAGAAGTGATCGGATTCGACAAAGACATTGGCTTGATGGGTTTTAACAATGCGTGCATTCTTTTGTAAACCACTCGATTAACCATTTTATTTTATCTTCGTATCAGTAGTGTGAATGAAGCTTGAATTTGAATTTATACATAGTGATGTAGGCAGGACATGTTTCCTGATTGATCGGTTTTTGTCCATGCAACATAAGATTTTAATTTCGTGCCAGTGTTGTGCTTGGTGATTCCACTTCTAATATTCTCCTTTTATTGTTGATTTACTCTACTTCTGTATTTTTTTTCTTCTAACAGATAGATGAAAATGTACAAAGAGAAATTATAAACCCCAGGTCATTGAGACATCCGAACATTGTCCGATTCAAAGAGGTCTGTTAAATATTAACATCTAAACAAAAACTAAATTCACTGCGGAACTCAGTTTCGTACTATGCTAACACCCACTCACCTGGCTATTGTTATGGAATATGCATCTGGAGGAGAGGTATTTGAGCGGATATGCAACGCTGGGCGTTTCAGTGAGGATGAGATTCTTATCCACCAAATTGATTTTGTTTCTGATAATGAGTCCTACCTATTTCTAAGGTACTTGTTTTGCAGTCCCGCTTCTTCTTCCAACCACTTACATCAGGAGTCAGTTACTGTCACGCAATGGTATGAATACATTGTCTATCTTTGCTTCTTTTTCTTTTCCTGATACCTAATACTAGATTTCTGAGTGGATACATTGTTTTGTATTTATATCTGAAGCAAGTGTGCTCTCTCTCTCTCTCTCTCTCTCTCTCTCTCTCGGCATGCACGACGGGCTTCATTTTGCTGGAGTCCGGTGCTAAATTATGAAAGATCTCTGGTGATTAAACTCAAACATAAATGTGTTTGAATTTAATTTATTAAGATGGTACTTACTAACAAGGTAGTAATATAGATAAGTGTTAGTTATTCTTTCATTGCTTATCTGTATTACTACCTTGTTATTTCGTACTGTCTATATTTATCCGGCAATTGGAAAAACTAATCAAAATGTAGATCATAAATATAATTTTAACCAATCATTATAATTTTCATAATTCTAACCGAAAACTTGACATGAAAATACTAAACTACCCTTTCCTAACTAAAATAATTACAAACTATATCTTCTCTATTCTAAACTCATTCCCCTGAAAAATACCTTCACGCGCTAAATTTAAATTAATGGCAACCGGTCTACACAGCACAAATTCAAGGAAAGGCCAAGTGGCCTCATTCGGTTTCGATGCAAAGCTATGAATTTCTTCCTTCTTCTTCTTAACGATGAGTACCCATTTGAGAATTTCAAGCTCCAATTTCGATCTCTAGAGGACCCATTTGTGCCGACCGATGAGTGAGAAAAGTTGCACGAGTATGAGTGCCCCTATTCAAGCAGTTTTGGAGCTTCTAATGTCAAAAATCTACGAGTCAAGGTATTTTTTTTAAGGGAAAGACTACATAGTTTTGTAATCATCTTAGTTAAAAAGGGTATTGCAGTATTTTTATCTCAAGTCTTGGTTAAAATTATGAAAAGATATAATGGTTGGTTAAAATTCTACTCAAGGTCCAAATTTTGGCTAGTTTTCCAAATTAGGCTTGGTCTCTTCTCTCAATCCTCGGTGCTGCATGGGAAATTTGGAAAAATGACTAAAATTTGAGAGAAGATACTAATATTCTCTTCATGACTATTATAATCAAAAGTTGATATGAAAGGTACTAATATTCTCTTCATGACTATTACTTTTTACAAAACAAATCCAAAGACTCTCAAAACCCAAACGATTTTGCTGCTCTACGCTTCCCGATCTTCAATGTTTTCCTTCACACCTGATTGTTCCTTGTTTTTCAGCCAAAATTTAGTCCAAAAAAATTGAAGGAAAGAGTTGGAGTTTTGTAAATGTGGGTTCTTGGGTGAAGCAAATGTGGTTCAATTGACTGAAGGTTTCCTCATTTGGTGGGTGCGTACCCGTTTGAAGATCCTGGGGAGCCTAAAAACTTCCGCAAGACAATACATGTAACTTTTCGAAACTTGATTTCTACCGAAACTTGGTTGCTGTGATACTTAACTGAAGTCGAAGGTTTTTCCTCTTTTGCAGCGGATAACGAACGTCCAGTACTCGATTCCTGACGGAGTGCTGCCATCTAATATCAAGGATTTTCGTAGCTGAGCCCGAGAAGGTGTGTGATATCCCTTGCATTATACGTTAATCCGTAAATGCATTGCCGAATAGGCGGCTTTTGTGCATAGAACTATATTTCAAGCTCTACTGGTTCGATTTTCATTAAATATCTTCGTGTGCAACAGAGGATAACCATCCCTGAGATTAGGAACCACGAATGGTTTCTTAAAAACCTTCCGGCAGATCTCACGGTTGAAAACACCATGAACAACCAGTTTGAAGAGCCTGGTCAACCCGTGCAAGGCCTTGATGTGATTATGCAGATGACTGCCGTGGCTACAATACCCGCAGCCGGGACCAACAGTCTCAACCGGTATCTTCTTCACAGCCTGGACGTCGATAACAAGGAGGAGGATCTAGAGTCTGATCCCGACATTGACATCGACAGCAACGGAGATAGTCTATGCAATTTAGTTGGTACAATGCTTTGTTTCGGTGGGGGTTCCCGTGCAAGCGGGAGTTCGGAACACCACCGATGAAATTCGACATTATCTTCAGTCACAAATGTACGGATGTGAAATTGGAGCAACGGCGCATTGGAGGGTTCCCCGTCCGCCTGCGTTTCTGTTTCTCCTTTTATAGTGGCATGCTTCTGTTCATCTGTATTGTTCTTCCAAAGCAACACACTCATATTTCAGAAGAATCCGGATATTTCAGAGGAAATCCGGGCATTTCGTAGCTTAAGACTCTAGTGCTTAACAGTAACCAATATATCAAACGCAGGCAAACTGTCTTATACGTTCACCAAACAACAAAAATTACCTTCGTGCTCATATGGCGCCATTCGATTACAAATATTTCATGGACCTCGGGACTGAAAGTATTACGGAATTAAATTAACATAGAACTAGAGATCCGCAAAACATCGACTCACAGACAGCCGGTTGACGGCTAATCATCACATATGAACACAATAAACGGCTGTCTAGCAAGATATTCCTACATGTTAAGACTAGAAATATTATGTCCTGCAGCCACACAGATGGTATGTGAGAGCAATATAAAAAATCATTTCAAGAAAGAAAAGAGAAAGAACGGAAGGAAATATGTAAGAGATGACATCCTTAACCAGCTACGATATCAGCTTTCAGAACCAACAGTCTCTGTTGCAGGGGCCGACACATCTCCATCTGAATTCTTGTCGCCGGTTCTTTCCCCACCATAACCTGATGGCTCTTCATATCCATTGCTTGGAAGCTGTGAGTGGTCTTGCTGCTGATGCTGTGACTCGCTGTTTGTAGGCGGATTCACTGCTGGGGCGTAATGTGAAGGCTCTGGCTGATGGTACTCACCATGTCCATATGCTGCGGGCTGAGATGCTGCAGAAGGGTCTTCAACCCCCTGCTGCCCTCCATAACCTGTTTGGTAATAACCAGGATGTGCCTGGCCTGTGCTGCTTGGATGAGTCCAATACCCAGCCTGAGGGTTGGCTGTTGGCTGGCTGTATGGAACTGGATAAGCAGCTGAAGGCTGGGTACTTTGAGAAGCAGTTGCATCCGCACTGGATGGCACCGCAGGTGGTCCATATCCTGTAGTTGCATATTGTTGCTGGTAATCAGATACTGGAGCTTGGCCTCCATAACTCGGTGGCTGCTGAGCATATCCCTGATCATAACCATGGATGGCGACGGGAGGTGTCTGATTGTAGTCGTAGCTAGGATTTTGGGGAGCTGACCCCAGCTGAGGTGGTTGTCCATAGTAATTGTATCCACTACTGTCTTGAGGCGGCTGGGACATGGCTACTTGGTTTGATTGATCCCAACCTGCTACCTGCGTAGGATAGTTGCCATAGTATGAGGCAGGAGGGGCATAACTTCCTGGTTGTGCATACCCATAATGGGGCTGCTGTTGCTGAATTGGAGCTTGTCCTGGTGGGGCCCAACTACCAGGAGGGGGGTAAGACTGCTGCATATAGCTATTGGTTCCAGAGGGATTTACTATACGCTTCTGCAGAAGTGAAACCAAGGAGTTGAAATAAACATATTACTTTGATATAGTTTTGAAATAAAATATATATATAAGATGAGCAGAAGCAAGAATCCAGTAATTTAGAGGAAGGACATCATGAGAAAGGTAATGGGAACTGAATGTTTCGAGTACTAGACAAGCATGAGCAGAATTTGACCAGAAACCCAAGTTCGAATTTAGGCCATGAGACCTGACATTATTATATGTTCACGTATATAAAAGAAAATTTAGTGAAAAGATAGAGAATTGTTATTAACACTCCAAAATTCTCATTTAGCACTCCAAACATAGAATCCTAGAATACCATTGCGCTTGATTTTGCGCCAAGTCTTCCGTTAGCTCCAAGTACTCCATATCTTTTCTTATAGTCTCGTTCAACGTCTTCCTAGGTCTTTCTCTACCCCTTTTATCTTGAGCCTCCATATCATAGTCACATCTTCTTAACGGAACATTTGTCAATCTTGGTTCACGTGTCTAAACCACCTTAACCGATTTTCTCTCATCTTATATTTAATTGTAGCCACTCCTATTTTACCTCGATATCCTCGTTCTTAATCCTATCCTTTATCGTGTGCCATACATCCAACGAAACATTCTCATCTCCGCTATGCTCATTTTTTGCTCATGTTGCTTTTTGACCGTCCCACATTTCATGCCATAAAGCATCATTGGCCTTATCGGCTCCTACATATTTATCCCTTGAGCTTTAGTGGCATACGACAAACGCACAACACACCCAATGCACTCTTCCACTTCATCCATCCAGCTTGTATTCTATGGTTGAGATCTCCATCCAATTCTACGTTATTTTGCAAGATAAATCTTTGATAATGAAAACATTCCCTCTTACTTCTTAATCTCCAATCCTCACCCTTATCTCATTCAGGCCCCATGCCTACTGAACTTGCACTCCATATACTCGATATTTCACCTACCTAGGCTTCCAACACTTCCCGTTAAAGGTTAAGCTTTGCTTCTATCAGCACTATATCACCTGCTAAAAGCATACACTAACAGTTCGCAAAAAATAAAAGAAAGTACAAAGCGAGGAAAGATGACGAGTAGCCCAACCAAAGATAATCCCAGTATGGCCTGAAAAACAATCATCGAATTATCAAGTGTTCCTTTTGAATTCCCCATTCCTTCCCAAAGGATATTTCTTGCGGTTATTTCAATTCTATCCACCACTTTCTTTGGTATTTGAAACAAAGACGGACAATACGTAGGAATGCTTTCAACAAAATTTATCAGCTCACAATCACTCAAATATCAAACCATATCAGTTCCAGGGTTCACCCACAATAATAACCACAAATAATTTAGTCAGCAATCTTTCGCCACACCTAAACCTATTTGACAAGAATCCATCTCTTATGAAACCCTATTTTTCTTCTTTCCCACAACATTGGCAAAAGTTGCTAGATTAAGTAGAGAGATTCAAATCTCATTTCAAACATGACACGAATGCATAAAACCAAGATTAGAAGACCATACGACTCCTATCCGACCATGCTAACCCAAACAAGACTTTGTTCATCAGACTAAAAGGTTTGGAAAAGAAAGAAATGCCAATTCTTTATAGAATTTGTACATCTTCATTTTCACTTAACTTAGGAAAGGAAAAGGTCGAATAATGAAAGAGGTACAAACAAGTACTGATGACTCACCCCGCTGATTACTTCATTGACCAATTCTTTGGCTGCCTCAATTTGCTCTGTCGTTCCATTTATATGTACTGATCTCTCAGTTGACATATCACCAGGAGGAGGGTGCAATGGTACCACCTGTACCAAAATTATGTCTTAAATATAATGGAGATAAGATATAAGAACGCAAGAGACAAATAGCATGCTAGACTTGTTCCATGTAATGAGATGATTGTCATCCTACAAAAATGCCTAAGCTATTTTTATTCAGAGCCATAATCTCAAATATGATGCAGAAAGGTTCAAGTCATTTGACAACTTTAGGAATAAAAATAGCAGATAAGCATTTAATCTAGATGAAAAACCACAACTAAAAGAAGCAATGCTCAAAAAGCTAGACCAATCATTGAACAGAGATAGAAAGAGGGTCAAGGTTAAAGGTTCAACCATGGTCATACAGTGGCTATAATAACATAACAATTATATTTTTTTTATTTAATTCTCATCAATATTAAAGATAAAACTTATGAAATTAGGTATTCTGTAATTCTAAAAAATTAAGATTTTGAAAAGAATATGTTATTTGGGGTAAATTAACTCAACTAGTTTGTATTTCTTTTCGAGTATAAAATATCACTATGTAAACATCCAATCCACAATTTTGTATTGCATATTTCTTGTTCATTAGGTTTAGCTGTTTCTGTGTAGAGGTTATATGTGTGCGCGCACGGATAAAGAACATACATTTCTTATTATGGTTTTCATGCTTTTCTTTAATGGACCTTGTCCCTAAATAGTTGGAGGTTCATTCTAAAAACAACATACGACCTTTTCCAGGATTGGTTCAAATAGAGAAGTTATTATAACAAAAGAAATGAGTGCTGGAATCTAATCTATCACACCCAGAAAAACAGCAATTTTGGGCCCTGTGTCAAATTTATAGAATTGGGGCCAAAAAGCCTCAATTTTCCGAAACAATCAAACCAATCGAATTGGCCTTAACACAGTAAAGAATGCAAATATGAAAAAAGTTTCATAATTGCATTTTCTATTTCAAGAATGCTGATGTAGTTTCAATTTGAAAATATAATGTGACCAATATAAGCCAAAGCCAATGGATTTCTGAGATAGTATAAGTTGGAAGTTCATATTAATATCACATTCAATGACTTCTTCCCCCTCTCCTCCTTTAAAGTGAAAGTGCACACCTGAATACGAGCTCCTGACTTGCTTTGCATGGTCCTGATCGTCTCGCCTCCCTTGCCAATGATCAAAGCAACCTACAACAATCATGAATGCAAATATGAACATTATAATTACTACATTACCATGTGCTTCAAATATAAAAAAAATAACCACTATATTATCTAACCTTATTAGTGGGTACTTTCATGATAAACTGTTCTGATCCAGGTTGCATTGAGTTGAATCCCTGATTTGTAGACGGAGCAGAGACCCCTGCATCTGCCTGTTCAACAAAAATATCAGAACGTCTTTTTAGAGACTGATACGTTTCGGATTCATGAAACAGCAAGAACATCAATGCAAAACCAATATAAACATAGGCTTTACCTCTGCTAGGACATCACTGATAAGTTGTTCCGCCCTACTGATCTGCTCAGGTGTACCGGTCAAGTCCACATCCCTCGTAAGAGAAGTAGGATCAGCTTCTGAATCCCGGGTTATCTGAATTTTGGCTCCTGACTGAAGTTGTAGACTTTTTATCGTTTCTCCTTGTTTTCCAATAATTACCCCAACCTAAAGGCAGAATTACCAAAACAAATGACAAATCATCAGTGTTAGGCCATGAAATAATTCCGAGCAGCAAGAAATCAACAAAGTACCTTCCCATTTGGTATAGTTATTTTCTTGCTTGTGCTTGGAGAACCATAAGACTGTCCTGATTGCGGAGTAAAAACTGAACCAACCTTTTAGTTAGAAAACCAAAGACCAAAAAGGTCTCATGCAGTGCTTTAAAACGGATAATTGTATAAAAATATAACACCACAAATTCCAAATCCAACGGGAAAGGATCCTGGATTAAAACGTGCATTTGAATTACAAGAAATACAGCCAGACACCTTATTCTTAACTACTGTATGATACAAATATAAAAATAAAACCTCGAAGCATTTCCTTACACAGAATAATACAACAATTCAGATTCACGCACAACGGTCCCTTTTTTATCCTAGAAGTAAACAAGTGGACATTGAGCACTTGTGGAAACCAAGGCGAATTATTGAGAAGCAAGCAATACTCCTCAAAATCTCAAGCAGTCAAGGAGTTAACTACTTAAGCTTTCGGTTCATAACAGGGGACACAGAGAGCAGCCTGAAAACCGAACCCAAAGTGCCAACTATTACTGGAATTCCCCAAACCTAAAGTTTCAACGTCCCTGCCACTTAGTACTACATTCTAGTGGTAATCCTTTTCACTTGTAAGTGAGAGTACTTAATGTTCAAATCCCATGAATGACGAATTCTATACCAAATATTTCCCCACCTCGCACCCTTAGGGAAATATATGGTTGTATCAAAATAAGTTTTAATGAGCCTATAACTAGATTCAAAACAATACTAAGTCACATTCACGCTTAATCCGATCCTAAAATCCCCATAAATCTTAAGCTAGGGATTACAATTATCTTCCTTCCAATTTTTTGTAATTTTCAATTAACAAAGGAAGCAAATACAAATACTAGATTAATTAAAAAATAGAATAATTAATAAAAATAGAATTTTAAAACCCTAGAAAGTAGAAAGCAAAGGGAAAAAGCAGCAGTACCAGGGTAAGGAGGAGGGTTGTAGACGGGGCTGGGTTGGCGGTAGGGCTGCTCCTCCTCGAGTCGAGGACGCTTTGACTCGGCGTCGCTTACGAGTCGGGCTGCGATTTCCTGAGCTTTCTGCTTGGCCAGTAGGATGCTGATGCTGCTGTCTTCCAGCTTCCGCTTCTCGCCGGTGGCAGCTTCTTGGTATTGGTCTTGGTCTTGGTCTTCTTTCATGGTGGAATCGCTCGGTGACTCAGCGAGTGACTCGTCGACCAATTAGAGAGAGAGGGGGCAGCGACGAAGGAGGCAAGGAATTGGGAGAACAGATTACACAGGGCTCTGGTTGATTGTTATGAAATCAATCTGCACGATGTCGTTTGGTTCACGGTTCACCTCGCGATCACCACTGTTGCCTCTCCCTGTAAAACGCACCGCTTCACAGGTTTTCAAATTCAATCTTATACTAAACGATAATAATAATGCTAGGGAGATTAAAATTTTAAACCAAATGATGTGTCTTCAATAAAAAATAGGGAACTTTCATGAGAATGGTTTGGGCTAAGTTTTTTTTTTTTTAATTTTTTTAAAAAGAGGAACAACTAGTGGCAAGTCACAGTTATTCACCCTTTTAGGGAACAGGAAGACTCACATTGGTATTTTTTTCTCTCCTGACCATAAGTCTGAGAAGGGAAAGACTTTTGTTTCCGCGGGCTTTCTCATGTAAAGCCAAAGTTATATAATGAAAAAGACTTAAATTTTAATGAAAAACTCTTAAATTTTAATAAAAATGACAAAAGAACTTAAATTTTAATGAAAAAATACATAATTTTAATATTAAAATAATTTAAAACAAAATTGGCGAGCGCGCGCGTCCACACACATACTGCTTATGAAACTTATTAAATTGTTTATGAAATTTAACGGTACTACACTGTTTATGAAACTTACTAAATTGTTTATGAAATTTAACGGTACTACACTGTTTATGAAACTTACTAAATTGTTTATAAAACTTAACGGTACTACATTATGTATATACGTGTATTATTTCCTTTGCATTAAGTAGTTACGAGTGGAATCTACATATATTACTTATACATATATATATATATATATAGTATTTATTATACACATGAAAATACACCTTAAGAGATTATAGTAATAGATGTGTGTTTGTGTTATCTTGCTTTGTCAAATGCCTAAAAACGGGTGTCATCTTTGTTACAGTTAGCTAATTCTTACATAATTTAATACGTATGTGTATTTTCGTGTACTTTTTCTTATTTAGTACACGCGTTGGGCATACATGTTTATATTTTATGTTTTTTTATCCTTATTATTAAATAAAGTTAATAGATAATTTTTTGGTTAAAATGCAAAGCTTTGAAACTCTTTTCATTAATTTTCCTTTTTATCAAAGACATTCACAATTCTAAGGTAATGGGAGGAGATCCCCTTCTCAAGCTCATGTTGTAGATCGGCTCAAAGCTGATAAAATCATAAATAGGTTCGCACTGCATCCCAGGTGCCTTGTCCAATCGAAACCAGAAAGAAGCTTCCATTTTTAAGTTGTACTAGTCTTCAATCTCCAGATTCCATCTAAACCATAGTTTGGTACTTTACTATGCCGTTGACAAACCTCCAAATTCTTTGTTTGCTAAGTTTGTGAATGGAAGTGACATGTTTTGCAATGCAAAATTAAAGTTAATTCTAAGTATTGTTGAGGATATTGGATGGTCAAGCACACGTGATGTTGGAACAAAAGCTTGCCTACCGAGAAAGGTTGTATCCTGTAATATCTAAGGCGCTGAGCCAATTTCTCTTTTTAGTTTTGAAGCATTTTTATTAGTTTTTCTTAAAAAATAAGCATTTAATCAACACTTAACTAATAATCTAATCATTAACAACCACATCATTTGGTTTACAAAATTTAAAAATTTGGTCTCTCTAGCATTACCCTATACTAAAACTCAAAATAATGTTCATAAGCATTGTGCTTCCTATTTTGTCCCCGCTTAATTCGTATTATTTCAAGTACGCCAATTTTAGAAAATGAGGTTTTAGGCTATGTTATCCCATCGCACCTTAATTTTTTTGTTTTAGAATCTTGTGATCATAATCTTTTTGTTTTCTGTCATTGAACTTGAACCAACCAACGATCTCATTGAATCCGAACAAACGATCGAGTCAATCCTATTGAAGTTGCGAGTCGAAGGAGAGGTGCGGTTTCACCGTCGGCTTCCTCTTCACCGTGACCATTACTTCAATCCGACCATGTGCCCTTCCCCTCCACTTCCACCACAACATCTAAGGTAAGCTCTGAAACCTTTGTAGATGACTGCATGTTGTTTTTATGAGTGTTGATTTTCAATTTGAGCTATGCAGATGACTTCATGTTGTGTTGATTTCAGATTTAGGCTATGCAATCTTTCCCAATGAAGTTCAGGTCATCATAGGCAAGTCTTTAAATTTGTGCTATATGAAAAAAATGAGTTAATGCAATTTCCTAGCATGTATGAAAAATTAGTCCTTTGTTTGAAATTTGAATTGAGGTTATCATTCCTAATGAAAGCTGTCACATAGCACGATACACCACGAACATTCTCTTTTAAAAAAAAAAATCAATTTGTATTTAGATAACCATGTTTGACTGTATGGAGCATTATTAGACATTTCCTTCAACTAGAAGGTCAAACATCAGCTTCGACAAACTATTTGGACTCCTGGTCGAATGAAGCTAATTTTGGATTATTCAAAAGCCTAGGTATTTTACTTCAACATTTACAAGAACTTTGAAGTCACAAGCTTTGATAGCCTATGAAGCTACACTTGACAACATGCAAGTATTACATCTTAGCTTCACTTACCAATGATAATAAATTGGAAGCTTTGGTGGGTGGTGATACACATTAGTATCCAAGAGTGTGGAAGTAAAATCTATTTATGTGGTCTCTTCCACGTTTTTGTTACTAGTTAAAATAAAGAGCAACAAAAAAATAATTTAATTGAATTAATTGCTAATTATTAATTAATCAAGTATTAATTTTGGCATGTGGAAGAAGCCAATAAGACCTTCGATATGTCACATACAACTATAACATGTACATTGTCTTCCACACTTTTCCTCAAGAGTGTGGATGCAAAATCATATTATGGTTTTACGAACCTTTAACAACTACAACACGTAAATTGCCTCCCACATTCTTGCTCAAGAGTGTAGAAGCAAAATCAATTTATGAGGTCCTATGGTTAGCTTCAACTACCTTTGTGTAATATCAAACTATGGAGGTAAAGCTTCACACACCCTTGAAAGGGGAAAGCCACATACACCCTTGAAAGGGGGAAGCCTCATACACCTTTGAAGGGAGGAAGCTTCACATGCTTATGAAGGGTTAAAGCATCACACACCCTTGAAGGCGGGAAGCTTCACATGTAAGAAGGTGAAAGCTTCACATACCTTGTAAGTGTGAAGCTTCACACACCTTTGTCTACTACTAAACTCAACAAAAGCCTTTCACAGTCTTGCTCAAAAGTGCGGAAACAAAACCTATTTATATAGTTTCTTCTACACTTTGGGTTACTCAAGCTATATGTGTCAAAGATAAAGCTTCAACCACAAACTTGAAGCCTCAACAACCAATTAAAGAGTTTCGATCACAAAGCTTCAACTACAATCCTCATCATTATTATTTTTAGGAGAAATTAGGTTTTCATCCCTCTTTTTGCTACTCTACTGATTAAAACCTTATTCCTTTTCAATTTTTGATCGATGTCCTTATTTATATAGAGAAACTTTGGATGTGGTACCTAGCTATGAATATTCTTTGACTGAAACCTTGTTAGTTTTCAATTTTTTATCGAAGTTCCTGAAATTAATGTGATTATGTTACTATATTTTTAAAATTAAAATTTGAAATTTACAGTTGTTTATATTAATGAAATTTTAAATTAAAAAAAATCATAATTTGTGGGATTAAAAATATTAAAATATAAATATACTATTGTGTGTGTGTGTGTGTGTGTGTGTGTGTGTGTGTGTGTGTAAGCATGGGTACATTCATCAAAACTAAAACAAAAAATTATTGTACCAAAACATGGGTACATTCTTTAAAATCACAAAAAAAAAAAAAAAAAAAAAAAACAGATATTAGGCTTAATAACATTAGTAAATTTCTTCGATTAAACTTGACATAGATACATTCTCAAATCAAAGAAAAAAGAATGTATCCATATAAGTTTTAAAATGGATTAGAAAAAAAATTGAATTGTGTTGTAGGCCTATTTAACTGAGCTATTCTAAGGGATAGATAGAGGGAGGCCGGCGGTAGTGAGAGAGAGAAGAGAGAGAGATTTAATTGTGAAGTGTGTGTTGTATCACCCCCATTGTATTTATTGTAGTAGGATGGGTAAAATCCTTATCCTTTTAGGATTACAACTCTAATAGGAATTAGACTACTAAAAGGAATATAAAAGATATTCCTAGATACACAAAGATTTACACAATCATATTCCTATTCCAAATATGACTGCAACACTCCCCTGTAAATACTCAAACAAACATCCCATCAGATCTTCGGCAGATAAGGTAGAACAGTTGATGAAGTCAGGGGGATAACGGGCGAATGCGAGTCTCAAATTTAAGAAAGTACGCATTGGTAGTAAAATTCACAAAACCTTGCTATGGTAAAACCCAAGGTGGGAGAAAAACTCATAGGCTAAGGAGAAAAGTGAGAAGTATGCATAATGTCTAAAGCAAACATCAAATGGGATGAAAGTAGTGAACTCAAAGGAGTGTGATCAACCCAAGATGAGTGCCTCATCAAAACCTCGTTAGGTAGCAAAAACCCAGTGAAAAAAATGCTCCTAATCATAGGAAAAAGAGTACATTAAGATCAAGTGAGTATGCTTCTTGATACTCCCCTTAAGTTAGACATAACTTCTAAATAAGAGAACTACAAACGATTCAACTCAAATAACTTACGCATATTGATTCTTTGTATGAGCTTCTGAAAAGTAGACTTGGGCAATGACTTGGTGAAGAGATCAGCCAGGTTGTCCTAGGAACAGATTTGCTTGACTTCAATGTTCTGATATTGTTGTTACTGATGAGAATAAAAGAACTTTGGCGCTATGTTCTTGGTGTTGTCTCTTTTGATGTATCTCATCTTTAACTACTTGATACATTGATAGGAGCATATTTAGGCGACTTACTTAGCTTGTTTTCGTGCATCTAT